ATCACCGGCGAACACAGCTGAGGAGCTTCTGAGAAGACTGGACATCAATGTGGATGATGACGATGATCAGCCCGAATCTCGAGATCCTTCCGACAACCCTGACGTCGAGGTGGAAGGATGGGCAGAGGACCACGAGGCGAGATATCGCGGATGGGTCACAGGTGGTGAGCTTTGGATTGGCACTATTTGCCGTCTACAGGACGCGGTGAGGGGCCTTGCTGGTGTCAGCGACCCTCTCAGGGCCTTCTATCGCGGAGATCACCCCAGTAACCAGAGTGTCGAAACCCGAGTTGAGTTCTTGGTTGCTGCTCCCACATACCGAGACCGGGAATGCCTTAGTCTGGGCAGACTTCTCAAAGAGTTGTGCACCACGTATAAGGAGCTGAACCTCACCGTGGCGGAGGTGGAGAAGATTCAAGAGAGGCTGGCGAAGAATTGGGGAGCTCCGACAACCGATCTAGACTGCATCATCAGCGGCACGTGGCACGCAGAGCTGCTTGCCGCGGTTCTGCACGTCATTGCCATGAGGGATCGGAAAGCACTTGTAGACACGACCCAGCCCCCAAGCTACGGACTGCACCCTCTGGAGCTCCCCACAGCCGATCTGCTCAAGAACTTCGAAAAGTTCTCGTCCGTCATGGCCATCTCCAAGAGGTCTTGCCCTTCGTGCACTGGCGCAGTCAACTTGACAGCGGAGACTGAGGACAGGGCTTGGTTGTCTCCCGGCACGCATTCCGACTGGTATGCCACGTGCTTGCCACCCTGGACGCCTGTCGACATAGCCAAGAAACTTTTGGAAAAATATGAACGAGTACTTATCGATCGGCTTTTCACCATGTTGCATCCAGACCCGGCAAGATCAGGTCAAAGCGGTGGAACCCCTCCTGCGCACGAGATAGTGTATTCTCCATCCGACCAAGTGAACAGGATGTTCGAAGCAATGCTCGCAAGGTTCCAGACGCTGAGTATCAGCCCTCAGAGCCCGGAGGAGCAGTCCGTCGCGGGTCCTGCTCGCGCCTCGGAACCTAGTGTGCCTGCGCCCGAGATTCTGGTGCCGGACGTCTCTACACCCGATATCTCTGTCCAAGACGTCGATGCCCCGGACGTTGACATGCCGGACGTCTCTGGACTTGGGATCTCTGTGCCTACATCTGGCGCTAGCACCACCCCCGGCGTCGTCCCCGTCGTCCCCGTCGTCCCTGGCGTCGTCTCTGGTATCGTTCCCGGCGTCGTCCCTAGCGTCGACCCTAGTGTTGCGATTGATGACGCCGCTGGTGCTGTCCCTGGCGTTGTCCCCGGAGACGCCACTGCTACCGGACCGTCCTCACAGGTTGCACCTGACACCTCGAAGCCCAAACGTCGACCTCCGGCTCTTGGCGGCCCGAAGGACCGCGGCGACAAGCGCCTCCCTTCGACAGAGGAGCCCCGTGAGAGTCTTCCCTCGCCAACCAAGAAGACTCGACCTGAAGAGTGAGGGAAGGGGTGCCTGAGAGCCCGTTCTGCAGGGAGAAAACGTACTTGGGACGGAGACAATGGGAAGAGTAGTTGGCTCGGTAGCTGAGGAACGTGGGAAACTGTAATGTGTATCAGAGAAGGCTACCTACTGGAATCGCAGCATAGCATCCTTGGTGGCAACGCTCGCTTTATTTGGTTTGGTAGCGCTAGGAAAGAAAAAGGAAAAAAAAGGGGCTGCTGGATAGACGGGGCGTACAGGTTGATTACACTTAAAACTAGAAAACCAAAAAAAAAGTTCAAAAGTATTGGTGGTGTCCTTATCGTTACTGACGTCGTCGTTGTCCGTCGGCGCGCCCCGACATTGAGTTTGTAGTTACGACGTAGCCCCCCCTCGCAAAAAGACTACGGCAAAATTCACCCTATACGCGGGTACAATTCTGGAAACACTATATAGGCACTTTAACCTGTACCCTCTACTAATTAAGGAAAACAGTACAGAAACCCTATACATTCCTACTAGCAGGTAAACCCTCGCACAAAGTCGAACGCGCGCCCTGGCCGAATAGACCGGCGGAACAGCAACGGCGCCGGCCGCGCGGCGTGGGGCCAGCGGCGGCGGTGTCGCACGTAGCGGGGCCGATCACATCGGGCGCCCCGACATTCTTCAACGTTGTCGTCGTCCCTCAGCGGGGGCGTCCTTCCAATTCATGCTTACCCTACCTAGGTATCCAGAGCGTCGGTCAGCCGGCGCTGAACGGCGCCGCTTGGAACCTCCCCACCGTGTCACTCAAGCTTGCCGGTCGGCCCAGTGGCGACCGGTATGGGTCCACTCGTGCTGGGAATATTCGCGAGCCCAGCGATATGGCCGTAGGGCACTTCTCGTTTTCGGAAACCTCATCAGACGGCAGGAATCGATAGGCGTATTTATTCCGGTGTCAGGCCATTCGAATCTTTCAGGTTCGTGTCTGCTCCTCTCTCCACTAGAAGCTCTATCATCTCGTTTGTGCGGTTGTATGGGCCATGTTTGCGGTTAGTGGCTAGAACGTGGATTGGCGTTTCGTCATTCGTATTTCGAACATTTGGATCCACGTTAAGCTCATCCAATAGATATCTCGCGACCTCAATGTCACGATAAGCTGCAGCTTGGTGCAAAGCGTGAAATTTGGTCGCATCGCAGGTGATGAGAGACGAGCCTGCCCGAATCAAACGTTTCGTAATTGCAAGACGACAGCCACTTTTGTCTTCAGTGACTAAAAGGTCATCCTCTTTGAATGTCGACGCATCCCACTTCATACGATGAATGGGACTCGGGCTGCCCTTCAACGCAAAGTATAGCGAGCGCATTGGCTCCAATTGGGACCTCGAGGTCGGTATATATCGGAAATGCAGCATATTACTCATTTGTGGCAGTCATCATAGCTCGATGCGAGTGGCTTCAGTGGAGGGTCTCGGACTCCCACTGATCGCCAGATTCGTATGTTTCGAGGCTGTGTTGAAATCCGAGGTCGGCTCGCTGTTGAAAGTCCGCGCCGTTTGCAAGAAGATATCTTACGAGCTCCACGTTTATATAGAAAGAAGCCCAATGCAAAGACGCGAGAGTAGAGAAAATCGGGCTTCTCCAATACTCACTGTAGTAATCATACCCATCACTGTCCATGATGAAAATGTCGAACAACGTTCGATCAGCTGTATTGATGTCCTGCCCATGGCTTAGAGCTCTGATGACACCTTCCATTGACCCCTTCTTTACTGAAAGCAGTAGTGCTGAAGAGAAGTTGACTTTCTTGTCATGTTCGAGGATAAAGGGGGCGATGATTGTGTGCATTTTCCTGCACGTGGCGCCAAGGTCTATGGCGTCTCTGACACCTTTGAAGCTCAAAAAGTCTTGTGATTCATACCATCCAACTCTAATCTTTTCATACTTCGTATAGCCACCTAGAGGGTATTCTTCGAGTATTTTGTCGACTATTTCCAATACCAATTCGGGTAGTATGCATCAGAGGTTTGCTTCGGGGTTTTTGGTGTCTCTTGATGCTTTCTTTGCCTTTTTGGAGGCAGCCCGTCTGGCAACTTTCGTGGCTCTCGCGACTTTAAATTCTTCGGTGGTCCTTCTTGGTAATCGGTTACAGTGAGCCATGTTGGTTTTGTCTCCGCCGGAAAGGATTGATTCAAGTGAGTGGGGTTACCCTGTGTTGTGATAGGGGAGAAATTCAATAGTTTTTTTTATTTAAGTAGTGTCCTTATTTTGGGGAAAAAATCAGTTCAGGTGTGGGAAAGTTCTCATCACGGTGAATTGTCATGGAATCGCGAGGGTTCTTGTTCAGTGACATCCTTTCTGGACGAGCCAGTCACACACCCTTTGAGAACGAAGCACCATAACATTAGGTTAGTGTATGCTACATGTAAACATCGTTAAGCATCACAGTGAATTTACTACATGTCCCGTTTCTACTTCATCACTCACTACAGGCCGAATTAGTGGGCGAAAATCGACTTCAGCGCTCGGGCATAGTCTCAATAAGTAGGAGTAGCTGCAACCAGCTTTACAAAATTGGAACCGGAGAGGCTGAAGTCATTAGATTTGCTGCCATGAAACTCCCACCAATGTTCAACAGCAGTAACCAGACAATGCCTAACTACCTAAGCTAATTCTCCCGCCCTCTGTTGGCCAGAAACACTGAGATGAAGGTCATCTCATTCCATCAGCTCTTTCTTCTGAAGGGCACCCTCCATCGGCTTCATCCACTCGATCCTCCTCGTCGTAAAGATCTCAGCAGACGGCTTTTTCATGTTCACAACATTGGAATCGTCCAAGATGCCGGCCTTGACATAGCAAAGCCCCTGCGTCTTTGGTCCGTCTCGCCATAGCGTCGTGCCGCAGGAGCCACAAAAGTGATTGGTGACCGGGTTGCCACTGAGTGCGGGAGCGGTGAACTCCTTGAGACTTGCCCCATCAGTGACCGACAATTGACTGGCTGGAATAACCCAGTTGATGGCAAAGGCACTGCCAGAGGTCTTGCGACAGTCAAGACAGTGACACATGGCCTAAGTAGTCTGTATTAGCTTCGCAAAGTCTGCGACTTGGCTGGAAGCTATCCACTTACAACGGCTAACGGATCGCCCTTGATGGTGACCTTGGCGGCCCCACAGAGACAAGTTCCAGATGTCATGGTCAGTGCAGTTTGGATTCGGAAAGAGAACACAGAAAAGAGATATTGATCAGATGGTGAAACTGGGAGAGATGAGAATGATCGACCTAATACTATGTTCCAGGTGAATGGGCTTGATTTTATAATTCCTCCACGTCGCCTGTGGTTTGGAAATGTTGCTGCACAGCTACGAACACAGAACACTAAGACTAAACCATTTTGGGTAGTGTGAGCGATGGCGAACTATGATTGGTCGTAATTGAAACCTCATCCTAGTATCTCAAGTCAAAATGCTCGATCTCAGCTCGTGCACGCTACCGTGCTGCCAGCAGCCAAACTTTCACCCTGGTACTAATAATTTTCGCAGACCGAGGTGTCCGAATTCCAAGGAGCCTTTCATGTAGCTGGTTCAATTTGAGCGCCACCAGGCACCATCTGTGAGACGATAGTTTCCGCGAGGCCAAATCCACAGGCAGCGCTGAGCTCCCGAAGCCTCCACGCGACCCAGCCTTTACTGTACTCGTCAACCAGATTAGACTGAAGCATGGCCGTCATCGGCCAGAGGAGTGAAAAGACTAGCATGCCCACGCCTGGGCCGTCCTGGGTCGGCCCCCCATCACAGCCGAGCGCCTTGCCTAGTTCATTCACTAGAGAAGGTGCAGCAGCTGGCATGCTTAACAGCTGCTGGTCGAGATGCATGCTCATGTCGTCCAATGAGTCACTGGTTGCTTTTGAGATTATTTCAGAGATGTGTAGTCGGACTGTCAGATAGAGGCATCTTGCGACAGCGGCGTGGGTGGCGCTCGAGATGCTAATAAGTGCATTGAACACGGCGGGCGGCGGACCGTCGAACTTGGGGTCGAAGTTTACGCTGTTGGCAGCATCTTGGAGGTCTTGAGCCACCAAAACGCCTGATCTGGCGATGTCTGTGAGAGAATCAGAGGCTTGCCCTAATGTTGCGGACATGAAACGGATCTTAATATCCACGGCTCGTCGAACCAAGGGATCCAGCAAAGAACCCCGGCCAAGAGAGTTGATGAACGCTTCAAGTTCAAACCAGAGGGGAGGGATCATGTAAGATGTCGTGAAGAGGTCTGCCAGCTGATATTCTAGTCAGCAGAGTGATCGGTCATTTGAGTGGAATGGGAGAATGGGACAATACCCTGAGATGCTGGAATATCACAAGTAGAGTGCAATCCAGCGCGTTGCTTAGCCGGTGCTGCGCTCGATAGCGAAATAACGCCAGCGCCCCACGAGCGTGGGGATGACACCCCGGCTCAGAAGTCGGGTTAAGGTCCGGAGCAAATTCTGCCGCGATGATCTGCAGAGTCTTGTGAACAAGGTGAGCAAGAGACATTCTGCAACCTCATACCTGAAAGAAACCCATGACAAACAGCGAAACGAGCACCGAGTCATCTCTTACCAGACCCTCATCCTGGATTGCCCTGTTCACCTCGCGTATCGCCTTTCCATATGTCAGTCGCGCGCGATCCATTAGCCCGACTTCGGAGCGCTGGCGGGCCACGCTGGCCAGCGCTGCGGCGTGAATGGCATTGGAAAGACACGAAGCAGGCTGCAAGGCATAGCAGTCTTTCAAAGATGTGAGGTAAGCAATGCCAGACCTCGAGGTGTAGTCAGTGAAGAATTTGTAGACACTCGGCGTCTCAGGGCCGACAAATGGCGTCCAGGCCGGCGGCGGTGAAGTGATGTTTCTCCCTTGCAGCTGACCTCCACCAGCCTCAGCTCGACGCCTCTGAGCCTTCTCGACTCTCTTTCGCACATGCTCCTTGGCGTGTGTGTCCTGTTGGCGAAGGACTAGGGTCCACTGGTCTGGGTAGCCGGGGCAGACGTACTTGAGGCGTCGGCACCGTGAACATGCCGGTTTCTCCTCGTCGCACTGGTCGGGGGACTGTGAGCAGGGAGCGACGAGAGGAAACTTGAGCAAGCCGAATATTCCTACCTTGACTCTACCCTCCTTACAATTGAGGCATCCCCTGGATACTCGTCCTCTATATGCCATGTTCGCACTTGTTATGAACAAAACAAGCAGTTGAAGCTACCGTCGCCGGAAGGCCTATCGCAAAGAACGTCAGAGTAGGATTACTAATCCTCTCCAAATTATGACCAGCGAACTCGACACAGACACTCGGACACGCACCTACGGGGTACAAAGCTCGGTAGTAAAGAATCTCATTCTTCGTTTGCTTTGTCAAAAACCAATACCGAGCATTAGTGACATCGTATGCGCCAATTTATTCGAGCTACAATACACTTGTTTCCTTCCGCAATCCCTGCCTCTCGCCTAGTTGAAAGAGCTTCAACCAGGGACACCTGCTTCACTCAAGTGTCTTGGCCTTCATCGGCCAAAAATCTATACCCTTTGACTGGACCATGGATCCTGATATATCTAAGCGTCCTCCTAATCTCTCTTTTATCTTCCTCGTGTGCGCGACGATTCCTATCCAAGATAGCCTCGTACTCGGGGTCCCATTTGCATCCGTTCCACAGCAGCAAACACGCCAAATGTAGGCCATCAGGTGATCTCAACGCGTCTTGAATGGCTGTGACACCCGAGTTAGTTTTCGCATTGACGTTTGCGCCAGAAGCGAGGAGGAGAAAAAATGTTCTCTCCATTTGATCAGCATCAACCTCATGGAAGTCAATATCTTCCCACAATGTTTCTTGATTTATCGCCATATAGTGCAACGGGGTGAGTCCATTGTTATCCCGGACATTCGGGTCAACGTGCAAACCTCGGATCAGATATTCTGCTACTTCGACGAGACCATAAGCACATGCCTGATGTAAGGCATGTAAACTTCCGTACTGCCTTGTGATGAGGTCGCATCCAGCTTGGCAAAGGCGTATTACCGTGTCGATATCCCATGTATGGGAACCTTTCATAACAGCCTTTGCATCATGCGCAATAGCATCTTTCTTGATTCCTTTAAGACCTTCCATGAAGGCCCATTTCGTGCATCCTTCGTAGCTATTAGCATAAACAAAACACCGCGGTTTGTGTGCAGATATTTTCTTACCGGAACAGTCACAGTTGTACTGAGTTGCCTTGAACGCGAAAAAGAGCGCATTCGCTCCGAATAGAGGCATTGGACTATGTGTCTGCTTGTCGGCGACAAATTCCCATTTTGTGACCCCAAACATAACATCCTGGGCATATGGACGGTAAGGTCCTTCAATCTCTCTAGTACACCATGCGTGGGCCCTTTTATTAATATCGGCTTGGTGATTCAGAAGTGCTTCGACGATTTCGGGATGATCATAGAAGCATGCAAGATGCAAGGGGGTAAGGGAGGGTAAGACGCATTCCCTCGAAATCTTCAGTGGCGGGAGCTTCTGGGATACTCCGTGTACCCGAGCCCAGTGGAAGAAGAGAGTGTGATCATCCATGTTCGGGTCGGCCTTTCCGTACTCCAGAGACCTAAGAACTCCACTAAGTACGCCCTTCCTTGCAGATATCATCAACGCAGAGGAGTAGTTGTACTTTGCATCAGATCGATACAATATGGGGGTCACCATCAAATAGAGCGTCTTGCAAGTCGCTCCGAAGCGTGCTAGATCTTTCCATCTGTCGAACGCGCCCCGATTCAACTCCACCTGATCCCATGACTGCCACCAAAATTCACCTTTGCCGAAGAATTTTATGTGGTCATATATAGTAAGGCCTTTCCCCACACCCTGGTTCATATCAAGGGTCTCGGCCTCAAGAATAGCGTCGGTGACTAGGAGAAAGACGTCTGCCGGAAGGGAAAGAATGTCAGGGGTTAGTTTCTCGACGCCGTCATCTTGATCTGACAGTCGTGGCATGATGGGATCGTGATCTCTGTTTGCGGGGTGATACAATATGAGGAGTTTTGCTAGCCAGGCAGTGTCAGTTGACTACCAGGGCAGTGATCCCTAACTTACTTCTGTAAGGACAACAGTAGCGAAGAAAATAGTAATGATGATAGACGACGATAGTATAGGCGATACGAGATCACGGCGATGGTGACAATGGTGATGATTAAATCAAAGATAGGAAACGTAGGAAGCATAGGAGGTCTCGGCAGGACATACGGATCATGTGGAGCTTATGAGGAATCTTCCCTAAGAAAACAACAACCTTTCTAGTGGGCCTGATCATACATCCTTTTCGGCCACGGTGTGCTATGCACAAGTACTGCAGCTTGCCTCTAAGTTTTCAAAACAACCGAACTTGTAAAGCCATTTTAGTTCTAGCTAGACGGGTGGACCGACAGGGTAGGATCAAGCCGCCTACATTAACTTACACCATAGCGCAGGCGATTCAAGTCGATACCTCTATCACACTTAGCTATCATGCTCCTCTGTTTCTCAGGGTATGCTGCTGATTCCCATCGCGTTGCCGACCTGATGTCTCCAGAGGTATGCCCACCTCTTGACCTGGCTGGCCCGATGGGCCAAAATTTCCCCTGTCGACACCGAGAACGACCGCATTTCTCTCGTCACTCAGATGGTATTCCGACACGAACAGGTTCAGCACAGTAGCTAACCCCGCAAAGGCGACATACTATGTGACCAGGTTAGCAACGAAGGACTTGTCGATTATTGAAGCACTCCACGCCTAGACGGATGCACTGAGCACCAATCACTTACCATAATCCACACAGTCCTTAATGCTCCAAAATAGGCCTGTCTCACAGGTACCTGCTGGCCTGCAGAAAGTAGTCCGATTTCTTCAACGTGAGCCGACGCGTTATCCCCGTCGAATCGACTTGCTAAGTCGTGACCAATTTGGTCAACTAAGACTGAGTTCCCTGCCTTCATCTGATTCTGGAAGATGACACCACCAACAACGACAGAGATGGCTGTCGCGATGGAGCGCAGGAAGCTCATTGTTGCCAGCACGGCAGCTGTGTCGCGTACTGTGGTTGCAGCCTGAGCCGCCAGGACGGGAGCTTCAATGTTGAGCCCGACGCCAATGCCGGTGAGGATCTGGAATACAAAGAGCTTTGCTAGGTTGCGTTCGAACTCGAGATTGATCAGAAGCCCAGTGCCTAGTGTCAGGAGAACCTGCGCTGCGTACATCAGCACCCGGTAACGACCAGTCTTCTGGATGAACACGCCTGCACAAGCCGCAGATAACGAGCAGGAGACAATTAGCGGCAGCAAATACAGGCCAGACGTTAACGCGTCGACGCCCAATACCGCTTGTGAATACAAGGGGAGATAGTACGTGATCCCGATGAAGACGAAAGCGTTGAAAGCGAAGACGAAGTATGCAGCCGCTTTCGACCAGCTTGACAGCAGCCGTAAGGGAAGCACAGGATTGGCGGCGAGCTTCCACTCATTCATGAGAAAGATGCCAATGGCGACGAGGCCGAAGACGATGAGACAGATGACCGTAGCGGAAGACCAGGGATGCGTGACGTCGCCAAAGTCCAGAGCGAGAAGGACCATCAGTGACCCGCCCATGCAAAACAAACTGCCTGTCCAGTCAATTGCCTTAAGTCCGGCCACAACGGAGGTGTTGGGGGATGGGAGATCGAGAAAGAAAAAGAGTACAACAAAGACCACGCCGCCGATCGGTACTTGATAGTTAATCAGTCTCCATACGCCAATTAACACATGCAAATTCACTCACGATTAATCCAGAAACACCATCGCCAACTGGTAAAAGGACCGTTAGCAAACGACAACTTGCTTGCAGCGCCTGCTTGAGTGACAGGAATGGGACCTACTCCAGTCTCGTCGCAAAGACACCGCCCAGTACAGGACCGACCGCACTACCGATGGCCCAAATGATGGATGTGATAGCAAGGTACAAGCCGCGGTCGCGAAGCGAAAACATGTCGCAGATAATGGTGTTGACCATGACGCCCATACCGGATGCGCCGACCCCTTGAACGGCGCGGCCGGCGATGAGGGCGTCCATATGAGGCGCGAGCGCGCACAGCAGACTTCCGACCAGGAAGATTGTCAAAGCCAAGAGGATGATTGGCTTCCGCCCCCAGAGGTCTGCGACGGAACCCCAGATGGGCGTCACGGCGGTGAAACCGAGGATGAAGGCCGAGCCTACCCAAATGTAACCAGCGACCGAATCGAGCGATGCCACGATGTTTGGAATAGCCGTGGTCACGATAGTCATGTCCAGAGCTGAGAGGGCGACTGATAGGCAGAGTGACGCCATAGTCAGAGCAATGGTCGTCCCTGAGAGTTTTGGCATGTCGGTATCGGGGTCGTCATCCGGTGGCAGATCGGGGTGCGCATTATTAGAATGGTTGAAGGTTTGCGTCGTCGTTCTTCTCTGAGGAGAGGCCTTTGGCGGGGATTTTGGCGCGGTTGAAGGGACAGGAGGTTGTATCTCGTCTCCATCTTGCTGCAAACGCGAAGAAATCCCGATTCTATCACCGGTTCCCTCAGGATAGATTGCAGCGAGTCCTAACGACATGATGATCTCAATTGCGATGTGAAGTGAGAAATCTGAAGAGAACGAAGCGGAAACGTCGATGGGTTATCAGCAAACACCGGATCAAACGGGGATGTAAAGGGACCTTCGTCAAATAGTGGTGTGACGCTGTCAGACGGAGTCGGTCTCGGATAATTGGCTTGGCCGACGACAATTCGAAGGCAGCAAGAGATAACGCGAATATGATTGGCGCTTGGTACTCTCCAAGGCTCTGAAGGATGCTTGGCAGCATTGTGCTTACGCATATTGTTACTTGGAACGCCCACTGGCACGATTTCGAAAGACCGTTGCTGGCAATGGTCGCGGTAGAGTTAAAGAACGGAAATGAGCCTTTGATTGCGTTACAAATACGTATGTTATGGACGTATGAAGGAACAGTATTTGACCAGCAGTTTGGTTGACTAGAATCTGACTTCCCGCCACCGCGACCTTCGTGTATCAAGGCCGTGTTGCAAAACATACGGCGGTAGTCGATGTTGCCCTTTACAAGAACTGATTTGGAGAGGGACGGGCAGCAAACAGAATGAGATACAAATAGAACGTGGTGTGTACCTATGGATAAATAAACCTCATGCGCTACAAATACGACGTGATGAAGATGGCGAGAAACAAATATTTCTCGATTCCTAGACCGGCTATCCGCGTTGCTAGCCATGCTGCATTTTGTCGCGAATGGCCCACATGAGCGAAAGTCTAGCTGAGCGGTCTGAAATTGAACTCTGGATCGGTATTGCGATATGGAAAACAAAAGAAAAATACATTTATTCCATGCGATCTTTGACTGCAATAGACTTTTATCATCGTACACCGGTAGTAACACAGAATACTCAAGCTTTATACTCAATAGGTTTTACTATCCGGCTTCCAGCTAACTAAGCAGTAAAAGATAATGTCTAAGAATTCATTCTCGTATAATGGCTTTCTTATACTTATCGTCCCCGTCGTCCCCGTCGTCCCCGTCGTCCGTACATATCGTCCCTGTTTCTATCACTTCTCTCTGTCCCTATCGCTGTTGTTTTTGTTGTTGTCGTCGTCTAAACAGCATGCGCTTACCATGGTTCAGGCACATCAGATTCGTAGCCTTCTACATTGGGCGGGGCCAGTCCGTTGTTTCCAATATCGTAACGAAAATAACTTTCGGAGCCGTAATAGCTGTAGTAGTAGTCGATTGTTTTTGCACGCCATTGTGCCCCATGCCTTAGGAGATACAAGGCAGTGTCAGAAAGATCTCGGCGAACAGCCAGGTCCAAGGGGGTCATGTTTTCCCTATTCGGGGCGTTGATGTCCGCCCCAGCTTCTTGCAGTCGTTGGATAACAGCCTCTGTCCGGGAGCTCGCGAGGTTTTGGCCTATATAATGCAATGCGGTGTCCCCTTTGTCGTCAGTCACGTTGGGATCGCAATGCCCCTCTGCAAGCAGGTAGTCCGTGATGTTTTCCAGTCCATAGACAGCTGCTACGTGGAGGGCGTGGAGCCCATCATAGGTGCGGACCACCGGCGATGCCCCGGATTCTATCAACTTTCTGCAGAGAACAAGTCTGTTGGCTGAAGAAGCAGCAGCGTCCTTGCTGGCAGACTTCAAGGCGAAGAAGAGAGCGTTCACGCCAAGTGATCTCGCAAGGCGGCGACGTGTGTATGTTTGGAGCAGCCAATTTGAGTCCGGTGTACAGTATGAAAAGAGAGCGAACTGATCGTGCACGAACCGAACCTTTGCTCCGTCAGCTCGGGTGCTCAGCGTGCAGCGGGCGTCGGCATTGGCGCCGTGATTGAGCAGGGCGTCTACAATCTTAGCGTTACCACCGATCGCAGCCCAATGCAAAGCCACCGACGAGGATGAAACGCCATAACTGTACGGATCTTCTTTAAATGGTTTGGTGTTCTGGCGCTGAGTATAGTCTGGAGTCTCGGTGTCAGCGCCGTACTGCAGCGATCTCAGAACGCCGTCCACGTTGCCGTTCTTGGTCGATAGCAGTAAGGCTGAAGAGTGATTGTAAAGATTGTCCCACTTATAAAGCAGAGGTTGAACATGCTTGTAGAGGTCTTTACAAGTCTGTGACAAGTCGACAATATCTTGCCAGTGGTCAAAAGTGCCATCAGCGCGGTACTTACTTCTTACCGTGACCCCATCGTCGTACGGACTGGTCGTGTCAAGGTCAGGGAAGAAAACAAACTCTGCAATCAAACAGATGATCTCGCCGGGCATATGTTGAAGACTTGTCATTTTGACGTTGATGGGAGTGATTGAATTTGTTGGTGTGCTGCCCCCTGGCGACTCGCGCCCGCTTAATACACCCCAGAGGTGACCACAGAGGTTTCTCCATGGCGTAGGACATCCTGGCCCTCACCTATTTCCCCGTCAGGGTTATCTAGTGGTATTTAAGGTGTACCCACAGGCGGTAAAGTGTGAAAAAAAGGTTACCAAAGAAGGAGTTAGCTATAGAGCTAAGAGGTTTCACAGTCCAAGCGACTACTTCTTCTGTGGCTACGCTCTATGTGACCGTCATCGTCGTTGCTGCTATCGTTACTATTGTCGTTGCTGTTATTGTCTTTCACCGTCGTCGTCCACCGTCGTCGTCCACCGTCGTTGTCCACCGTCGTCGTCCACCGTCGTCGTCCACTATCATTATCCTCATTAAAGCTACCAAGTACATAGGAAATATAGCCGCCTAGACATATGATAAATAGGCGATGTCCTGGTAAAAGTCTCCGTTGGAGTAACAAACATGTAGCAGTCAACACGGTCTGCACGTAACATAACAAAATTCTAGTTTAAGTTGAAGAAGCATGCACGAAAAGAAGCCTAGCCAGTCGTGAGGTATTATCTCGGCAGCGATGCAGAGAAACTCTCTGTTTGATTTGGACTAGTCTGTAAAATGAAACGGAGCGAAGAAGTTGTTTTTAACCGGGCTTCTGACCATATACAACATATCTAAGACCCATTAGGCACATGGTCCACTCAATAGTCAACTGCAACACTCACATTGGCCACCATCCATGTATCGACTTGTCCCTCATATCCTTCCTGGCCTCCGCCAGGAACACTTCGAGCTGTGCTGGCGACCAGCCGAGTGCTCTCGTAAATAATGCTAGGCTCAATCCCGAAAGGCCGTTTCCAAGGTTCTCGTATGTCCACATACCTGAGCCAATGTTAGTCTGAACCAGATCTGCCTTTTTTTCTGTAGAAATCTTATACCTAGCTCTTTGTACTTTGGGTCTTTCGGCCACGAGCTCGACGGCCATTTGTAGATCTCTTGCTTGATGTTTCTAAATCCGGCCGCAGCGAGCTGCTCTCTGTAGAATTTGCAACTATCAAGCGGCCTCTTCCAAACCGCCGCTGCCTCGAGCATGTGTGTCGCCCATTTCTGAGCGGCGCATGCGGGTGTTACGGTGCCGTCGTCACTTTTCAGATCGAGTAGGATATCTGACAGCTCCAACCAACCACCCGGCTCAAGAAATCTGGGGCGCGTCAGCCACACGAGAAACCCGCCATTTGCGGGAGAACGCACTCGAAGCTTTGCCGTATAAACCTCGGCCAGTCGGCGATCGAGCCTGTTAGCATTCTGCCGTATATGAAGTCGAACTTGTAAGAATACGTCCATTCGTCTTCCAGGTCATCGACATAGAATGTGACATTCGGTGGGACACTGTTGTTTTTGGCGTTATGCATGCATTAGCTCCTGCGACGCTAGCAGATTGGCTATGCAGTCATCAATACTGACAATACTGGCTGGATCGGACTCAAGTCCACGCCGGTAATCTATCTCCCGTAAGCCACATGAAAATCACCCCAACCCCCCTTGCGTGGGAAGCTGAACACAGCATGAACTCACAAGAGTTTCTGGATGCTCATCGGCTGCAGTCAAACCCAGCGCAAGCCACAAAAAGTCAGCACTCAACATCCGGGAAATAAAAAAGCCAAGGCCCCAGCCAGACAACGAAGGAAGTTGGAAGCGAATTGAAGGAAGCGAAGTGAAGTGGGCCCAGGGCGAAAGACAGCGAGAGCGTGGCTGAGTGCCCATTTTTCGTACCAAGGTCCATGGCCCAAATCCCCGTCCCCGTTCCTGCATCTAGTACCCGGCGGAGCGGCTTGTCCCGGCCGGCCGGACACGTAAACAACTGGTTATCAAACGTGAGGGTGTACAGGTGATGTTGGAGGTCTGTTTTTTCGCTCACACACGTATGAAAACGTCAGCGCTAACTCCAAAATGTCTAACAATCTCGCGATCGGCCTGTTCCCGCCAAGGGGTCTGGCTGACCTAGTCTGTCGTTTTCAACCTGACTCGGGCGTCAACGGGCAATTATTCTTCTCTCGGGTTCCGTGGCCTCGGCTCCCTTCGCTTGGAACAGAATTGTGGCTACTTACCGCGTCGTTGGGTAAGACATATCCTGGAAATTGGGAAGGGGGGCCCCGTCAGTTTTGGCACAATTTTCGGCAGATGGGATATGAAGGGTTATGGTAGATGAATACGAATAACTCACTGCCTTCTCGGAATGAGTGGTAGGTCCTCCCGTTCTCTTCGCGATATCGCATGATGCTGCTGGTCATTGACATTGAAGACCCAAGCACAGACTCCAAAACAAGAAAACCGAATGTCAGTATCCGAATTTCCGATTAGACACGTAATGCGACTGAGAGAGGGGCTCGGGCGGGCGGCAAAGTCCTCACCTCCCCCATGGCGGAATCTGCATCGCCGCCGTCATTTTCATCATCACCAACCTGCCCCCAAAAGTGATCAGCCCAGAAGTTGACCAAAAAAAGCCACGCAGAGGGTGGTGGGGAAGCCCAACAGCGACATCTTCCATACTCACATCCGCCTCCAAAGGCGCCGTGGCGGCCGCCGCTGGTGGTGCCGGATGCGCACCCGCACCCGCGCCCGCATCCGACCCCGCCGCCCCCGAACTCGCCATCACTCAACTCTCGGCAGAAGAAAACAGGAAAACGACAGAAAAACTGGAAGAACGAGATGACTGCCCGATGACCTGATGATCCAACGGCGAGTTGATTAGTCGTACGTGGAACTCGAAGAGCGAAACAAAAGAGGTGCATGCGCGGGAATAAGAAAACGGGGGACGATGACAAGAAACGATCGCAGAGACACTATCGCCTAATCGTCGTTGCTTTTTGGGGACTTTTTTTTGGAACTTTTTTTGGAGGGCGGATTGGTTCTTGGACCTCGGCGAAGGGGTAGTGCCCACGCGGATGCTCAGGCATAACCAAGACACACGGCTTCAGCCCAATGAAGCGCCCGGGCATTCGGGCATCTGCAGCGTGTGAGTGTGTGAGTGTGTCTGTCTCCGCGGGGAGACCAACGGACCCCAATGACTGAACGGGGTAAAAGAAGAAGCAAGAATCAAGAAAAAGTGTGTCTGCTCTCAAACGTCCTGCCGCCCGTCGATCAGAGTTCAAACCGCCCCTGGGGGCCGTTGGTGGCCGCAGCGCCCTCCATCATTGTCCATCATACATCACCGATTGTGCATCCAACACCAGAAGAAAGAGATGGCCCAAGTTTTTCCCTCCGTCGGGTCCTCCCCGAACACCCAGAAGAAAACAGGCCGTGTCCTTCTTCCATGGCCGCCCTCCTCCCCGCTCCGCCGCGCCGCGGTCCGGCAGGTGTCAACTTGCATCATCACACACTAAGCCGGGGAGCTACAAGGCAAGCAGCCGTCAAAAAGGCAGTGTGGCCCCCCACAAAGCGGTTGTGTGAGTGGCGTAATTGAGCATTCATGGGGTCCTTGACAGGAGTCAACCGGTGTGCTGGCGCTGTCCGCCCGCCCCCGACGACCCCCGAAGACAAGGCTTCGTAAGGTTTGTAGAGTGCGGTAATCTGCAGAGACCCGTTGAGTAAGAGGACTTCGGTTTGCTGTTTATGGACCTTTGGACGTTTTGCGAACCGGGCGTCCATATGCGAAATAAGCAAGGCGGCAGTGGGAACCATTGGCCCATATCCACCTCGCCGATGTGCCGTTGCGGGTAGCCGCATGGACCCAGGATGGCCCCCCTTTGCGACCCAGTCGTCGCCCCCTACCTGATCTTCCTCCTGTCTAAGGTCTTGTGCGTCTGTCTCTGTGTGGACGGTGTGGTTTGTGTGTGTGTCCACGACGACGATATGAGGCCCATCACAGACATTGCACACAGATGAACGCATGTCACTGGAAGGGGCGAGAGAGGGTCTGGACTCCAACGTATCAGGTTGGCTGCAGCTGGCTGTGAAGAAAAAACAAACAAACCACACACCACCATGATCCATACACCACCAGACACACACACACATACACCACCACCTCCACTCAACACACGCACGCGGCAGCACATCACCGCCGCCAAAAGGCTGGGCACGCAAAGCAAGCTTACCTGCATCCATCGTGGCGGCCAGATAGCGCGGAAGATGAAGTGACATTGTGCTCTGACGTTGAGGTGTGATGGGGGCAGCGCAGCAGCGGCTGGCCACAGTCCATGTTCATCCAAGCCAAAAAAAAAAATTCACGATGGCAACCCGGAATCTTGCACCAAGTCACCCGCCGTGAAGCACGGACAGCTGAACCCCTATCAATCCCTCCCTTCCCCCCCGTCCTCATGGATCTTTTAAAATGATCTGCCCGTATTGCTGGTCTCGACGAACTGGAGCCCTGGTGTTTTGGTGTCTCATATGCCGAATTTAACCTTCTTATCCTTTCCAAGGTTTCTTCATATACCGACCGTCTCGTCCCAGACTATTGTTTCCTCCCTCGTCGATTTTTGTTGCCCACCACCCCCCGTTTCCCAGGTCTTCCCAGTAGCGCGGGAACACGGACGCGACCATCCAAACGAAACGCTCAGTCTTTTTTGTTATCTTAATTTTTTTCTTGTGTTGATCATTCCCTCCTTTCCGTCTCTTTTGTCCCTCTTTTTTTTCCCTCTTTCCCTTCTCTTACAAAATGCACAACATGAATCAAACCGTCGAGTTCGTGCACGCTGCCATGAGTAGTGTCGATGCTAGTCGTCCGAACGAACAGGAGCCGCTGCTGCGCCACAGCCTGGCCAGCTATGCGACCGTCGCATTCTCGATCTTGGTCTTGTACGCCGTGACGTCCGTCGTCCGCCAGTATGCGCGTCTGCGGCACGTACAGGGCCCGCCCGGCGCGGGGTTCTCAAAGTGGTGGCTCGTCCGGACCGTGTACGGCGGCCGCCAGCATCTCGACTTTTACGATGCGTTCCTCAAGTACGGTACGTGTAACGTGCTC